TCGCGCCTTGCAGCTTCGGCACCTCGCTCAAGGCGTCGTACTGCATGCGCAGGGCCTGGACGCATCCCCATCGGCCCATCCTCCACCGTTAGCCCTTCTCCCTCGTCCACTACCCCTCCTACCCTCTTAGGTACCCTCTCCTCCTGCCCCTCTCTCTCGACGATCGTCGTCGTATCCTCCTCCTCCTCCTCCTTCTCCTTCTCCCCCTCCTCCTCCGTCGAGCCCCATTCCGTGTCTTCCTCGAGTGTCTTGTCGGCGTCGTCCTCCCTTTCCATTCCCCCTCCTCGGCTTTCTCCTCCTCCTCCTCCTCCTCCTCCTCCTCCTCCTCATCCTCCCCCTCGTCATCATCGTTCCCCTCCTTCGATCGTCAAGCCTCCCCGTCAGCGTCGACCAGTCCTTTTCCCCCACCCACCTTTTCCTCCTCCTCCTCCTCCTCCGCCTCCTCCTCCTCCTCCTCCTCCCTCCCCATCCTCCGTTCCCTCCTCAGCGTTCGCCGTCGATCACCATCCCCGTCGACGACGCCCGCCCCTTCCCCGCCTCTGCCACGAGCTCTGGCGGGCTCGAGCTCTTCTTGCAGTTGCCTGGGGGCCTCGGCGGCGCCATGGCCTCCGCGGGAGGGGGGGTTGACCACGGCGACCGCGACGACGAGGGGGGGCCATGGACCTGGAGGATCACCTCGGCCATGGCCCCGACGTCCTGCTCCGTGGGGGGTCGCTGCCAGGATCCATCGGGGCGGTCGTGGCAGCCTTGGCGATCGACGCGCTGGCGGTTGATCGCCATGGTACCACGACCGCCCTCGAGCCACGGTCCCCGTTGGGCGGCGACCCCCCGTTGACGGAGCAGGACGTCGAGGACATCAACAGGGTGACCCCCCATGTCCACGCTGAGCGCCCCGACGCGGCGCTCGACGCAGTGGGGGTGCTTGGGGCCCCCACGATCCTGACTCCTCTCCCTCCTCCCCTTCGGCCCTCCCCCCTTTTCCCTCGGGCTCCTTATTCTCCTCCTCCTCCTCCTCTTCCGCCTCCTCCTCCTCGTCGTCGTCCTCCCACGTACTCGATCCACCTCATTCTCCGAGTCCGCGGGGACGTGCCGAGGCCATTGCGCCGATCGTGGCGCGATATCGGTCGCACACGTGCGACCGATATCGCGCCACGATCGGCGTGCGCCTCGTGCAGGTTCTCCTCCCCCTCGTTTCCCCCCTACTCCCCCCACGCGGGCCTGCAAGGCCGCCGCGGGCGCGCGCGCGCTCGGGGGGCGCGCGCGGGCGGGCGCCCGCGCGGGGCGCCCGCTTGAGGCCTCGAGCGGCGAGGCCTGGGCGAGGTCGCGCGCAGCCCGCAGCGCAGTCGCCGCGCGATCACAAAAAAAGGGCACGATCAAGACCCTCGGACGCATGAGCCAGGCAAGGATGCGAGGGGGCCCATGATCACGCGGCGACTCGGGGGATGGGAGGAAGAGGGGGGGTTCAGGCTCGGGCGTTCGGACGCGAGGTCCGAGTCAGTCTACGTCGCAACACACCTGCGTAGTATACGTATACATGCGTATGAACAAGTATCTATATACACAGCTATACACATGCATATGTATATATATATATATATATATATACATACATGCATACATACATACATACATACATACACACATGCATACATACGTACATACATACATAAATATACATACATGCATACACCGTACATGCATATACATATACATACATACATATACATACATATATACACATTCTACTATCCTACTATCCTTGTCACCTACACCCAGTGCGACATCCTGCCAAACTTAAGAAATGTACGAAAACACAGAAAATTGAAGCAAATCTAACATAATTGGAACAAACCGAAAAAATTGAAACATTCTAGCATGCCCAATTTTTTCGGGACGCCAAGATGTCTGGGTACGCCGCCAAGGAGCTCCAAGACGCTCCCAAGAAGCCCCCAAGAAGCCCCCAAGATGGCCCCAAGAGGCCCCAAATAGCGCTTCAGGGCCGGCGGAATGAGCGAAGCGATTAAATAAATACACGCAAATCAACAGGATTCCCCATATTTTCCTACATTTTCTTGGTCCTTGTCTTCCCCCCACTTCCCATGTTTTCCCGCATTCTCCCGGGAGTCGACGATGAATTGTGTCTGTGCGCTTCTTTCTCTCCTGGGGCTCGGCGGAGGGAAGCGTCAGCCTGGAAATCGGCGATGCGTCACCGGGAGATCAGGGCCGAGAGGGGGGGGCCCAAAGACCGACCTCGAGCTGCCGCTGTCTCTGCTCCCTCCGGCGCAGGGCGGCGCGCTGGGCCTCCCCGACCACGACGGCGACGAAGCCGACGCCGCCGACGCCGACGACGACGCAAACGCAGACGCAGACGCAGACGCAGACGCGGCCACAGGGCCTCCCCGACAACGACGACGCCGCCGCCGCCGCCGCCGCCGCCGACGACGACGACGACGACGCCGACGACGACGACGACGACGACGACGACGACGACGACGACACAAACGCAGACGCAGACGCAGACGCAGACGCAGACGCAGACGCAGACGCAGACGCAGACGACGACATCGCCGTGCCCCGCGCGCGGGGCGTCCCCTCCCGCCTGGGGGCCGACAGCCGGGAGGCACGGTCTCAGGGGGGGAAGCTGCACGGCTTCCCCCGGGGCCGCAGGCGACCCGAGGAGGAGGAGGAGGAGGGAGGAGGAGGAGGAGGAGGAGGGAGGATGAGGAGGAGGGAGGATGAGGAGGAGGAGGAGGAGGAGGAGGAGGAGGAGGAGGAGGAGGAGGAGTAGGAGGAGGAGGGAGGAGGACGGGTCGCCTAAGCCCTTCGGAGAAACCCTTAAGGGGAAGCATCGACCTGGAATCGGCGATACATCGCCAATAGATCGGCGATAGGCTCCCGGTGGCGAAACCGCACGGTCCTGGGCGGGGAGGTGGGCCATCGGGCCCCTGATCGGCGATCAATGAGCGATGGGGGGTCGATGCATCCCCCCGTGAGCGCATCCCCCCCTGACTGTGCCCCTGACCCGCACCGACCTTGCAGACGTGCTGCAGCGGCTTTTTGCACGGATTTCTGCCAGTGCAAAGCCCTGAAACGGCGAGTGAAGAACGACGTGAATTTCGCGTGGATTTGCTTTTGGTCTTCATCCCTGGCCAAAAGAAAATCCGCACGAAACTCACCTCGAATTCCGGAACGAGATTCTCCAGGACACTCCGGCCGTTTTCCGAACAAAAGCCGCTCTGCGATGTTGGCGCCACGACACCTGAAACGCTTCAGGACGATTTTGGGGGTTGTGGTTCACTTGTTCGGGGGGGCTGCTGTGCTTTGCCGTTGTGCTTTGCGGTTCGAGCGTTCCCTTGTGCTCTTCTCTCTCTCTCTCTCTCTCTCGTGTCCTCGTCCTCCTCCTCGTCATCCTCGCCCTCGTCGTCCCGAGCTCGCGAGCGCTGCGCAGGGAGGCCCCCCTCCTGGGGCGCTGGCGCGCGCTGCGGGCTTGCGGGAGCCTGCAGCCCGGCCGCCGAGGAGGCGGAGGCCTGCGCCCTGCGAGCTGCAAAGCCTGCTCGGCGTCGGCCCGGTGCCGGCGCGTCTCCCCGAGCACCCTCAACAGGGCAACAGGACGTCGCCAATGTCGCACTGGTTGTTCATGTTTATTGTCATTATAAACCATATGTTTCTATATTACATGATTTGGTTATACATCGTAGAAAAATGATGCACCAGAAGTATCGTATTTGTCTTGTTTAAAATGTATACTAATCCTAATACGAATACTAATACTAATACGAATACGAATACGAATACGAATACGAATACGAATACGAATACTAATACTAATACTAGTACTAGTACTAATACGAATACGAATACGAATACTAATACTAATACTAATACTCATACTAATACTAATACTAATACTAATACTAATACTAATACTAATACTAATACTAATACTAATACTAATAATTATACTAATACTAATACTAATACTAATACTAATACTAATACTAATACGAATACTAATACTAAGACTAATACGAATACGAATACGAATACGAATACGAATACGAATACGAATACGAATACGAATACGAATACGAATACGAATACGAATACTAATACTAATACTAATACTAATACTAATACGAATACTAATACTAATACTAATACTAATACTAATACTAATACTAATAGTAATAGTAATACTAATACTAATACTAATACTAATACTAATACTAATACTAATACTAATACTAATACTAATACTAATACTAATACTAATACTAATACTAATACTAATACTAATACTAATACTAATACTAATACTAATACGAATACTAGAAATAATAATAATAATAGCAAGAATGATGATGATCTTGAATAACAAGACTTGCATCTGTAAAATTAACTATATCTCTACAATAACTATAACGCATATACATATAGATATATACATATATATAGTATTAGTTTATTTCTCCTTTTTATCCAATATCAGAAACTCCCCCAAACAAACACAACAAACAACAAAAAACAACAACAACAACAAAAAACGCAAAGGTCGCAAATGATGCTCGACGCAGGACTCCCACCAAGCCGCTCCCGTGGCGGGGAGGGGATGGGAAGAGGTGAAAGCCCGCCGCAGCAACGCGCCGCGGTCACTGTGGGAAGGAGGGGGGATGGAGGGGGCGGCGGACTGAAGTATTAGAAAAAATTATGTCCTGGGCGAGCAACGTGAGTAGCGCCGGACGAAAACCGGCTGATAGCTTCTCAGCGGCCCTGGGACGACACTGAGTGGTATCAAGAATGTCTGCAGCAGCGAGATGATTGAAGAAATCAAACAACATTGTGGCGTGCGGCTGTTAGAGCGTGCGGGATGGCATTGTTAGACGAACTGCTGACTGATGCAAATACTGGGAAAGGCAAAATCTATACAACAAGGAGGTGCCTCAACAAAGCACACACGTGAGAGTGCTCTAAGAGAAAGGCATAGCCGAAGGTTTTCAAGCCTTGCCCTTGTCCTTGCCGGCCACGACAACCCGCGTGTCGCCAAAGCCGTTTGACTTGGCATCGGCAACCTTGCAGATAACACAAAACGCACATTTGCCAGCACACGTCTATGCTGGGACCGCATCCATCAGCCTCGTTACCAAATGCACCGGCAAACACCTGGCATTAGGATTGTCCAGTGCATATACGCTGCTACAGCTGCTGAAACTGTTCGTCCGCATAGAGGAGACTTGAGCATGGCTGCAGGAATCTGAAGATGCGAGCATGGCCGTGACAACTTGAATGCACGATTTGCCATGTCACACGGAAGCAAATCGCAGTCAGGGTAGTGTGGGAAACCTTCTGAAGCTTCTCGCAAGTCGTTGACATTGTTTTGCCTCCGCCAGGCAAGAGGTACGAACGTGCAAATTAGTATAATCTCAAACCACAGTCTGCATTTGCCCACTTTCATCTCTGAAGCATATGTTACAGGATTGACACAAGCTTGTGAGCCGCCTTTGCCACAAGCCCGTAACCATGTCTACGGGCTACAATCACACATCTTCTCAACTCTCGGTGGGCACGACCATGCTTGCACACCCTCTCGTCTATGCTATCACACCCTCTCGCCTATTTCGTCGAAGCCTCGATTTGCTCCACCATGTTCGCTCATGTCTAGCATTGCCCGTGTCGATTCCCTCTTCTTTAGGGTCGTCCCCCTCCCACTCCGCAGTTTGCTCCGCCTCATTTAACATGGCACCTGCACTCCTCCTCGTCAGCCTCCCCCTCCCCTCCCTCAGCCATGCTGCTGTGACTAACGACGACGACGACGACGACGACGATGACGATAAGTCGTTACAACTGCTTCCAAAGACATGATGCCTGGCAGTTGCTCGTACCTGCGCGCCTCAGATCTAAAACAAAAGCGAAAAAGAGAGACCAAGAGAGAGAAAGAACAGGATATGAAATTAATTAACAAATATGTGTTGTCCCTGGCAGATGGGCCCTGTACCCTAAAAGTCCCCTCGGAAGCTCAAACTGAACGCCATTCCCATTGTGGGCCCACCAGGCGGCGAACCACGAGTTGCTTACAAACCTGGATGTGAATATGACTGTGTCCAGTAACATGGTCACCATGGAATCGGATGCATGCTGGATGCATGGAGATTGGTCAACACATCTGCGTTGCTTCCTCAAACCCAACATTGAAAACGACATTTAGTGCTGAACGCGCAACACCTCTCGCATACAAGCATCGAATTACTCTCACAAGACCGTAATTGATCAGTCCCCTGCGCGAAATTCGCTACATTCGGCACCCTATAGGCTGCGAAAGCATTCGAGTATGCATATTTTGTTTCCTGGGAACCTTCGCAGTATCCTCGAATAGCCTTAATAGCGGTGCGATGGCGGCACAACTGGCGGTGACGTACATGCCTCCGGCACGGGGGACGGAAACGGGGAGGCCCCCGCCCCGGAACCCCCCGCCGCCGCGGCAGAGAGAGGGGAGGGGCCAGAAGCGAGGGGCTGAGGATGGGGTGCGCCCCCGCGGGGCGCCCGCCGGAGGGCGGGGGTCCAAGACTGTCCCGCAGGCGCGCCACATCTTCTCGCACCCTGCCCCGCGGCCCGAAAGGTCGCACGGGGCGCCGCGCAACGCCGCGGCCACCTCCAGCTCCGCCCGCGCGACGTCGTCCGAGACGCGCTGGGAGGGGCCGCCACCGCGGCGCAAAACGCGCGCGCGCCCGCGGCCCCACCCCCAGCGGCGCCCAGCCGCGGGCGCCCTGCCCGCGGCGGCCGCCCTGGCCGCGACGATCGACTCGTAGAGATCCTGGGGGGCCTGCGCCATCTCGTCGAGCACGCGCCACTTCGCGCCCGCGGCAGCCACGAGGACTGAGGGTCTCGTCGAAGCCCGTCGCCTTCACGCTGCCGAGGTCGTCTTCATGTTCTCATCGCGCGGTAGCCAATCCAGGTTCGGCGCCATCTCGCGAGGCCCCAGCTCCTCCGAGAGCTCGATGGGGAGGATTGCCAAAGGCCACTTCGGGCGCCGCGGCCAACCCGCCGACGCAGGCCACGGGGGCCGCGCAGGTCTCAGCCGCCACGCTCGCCGCCTCCTGCACCGAGAAGTTCATCCTCAACACCTGCCAGGTCGCGAGGTCTGGAATGGCCGCCGCCTCGCCCAACCCCACGCAAGACCTCCCAGAACGCGGCACCTCTGCGAACCGCCGCTGGGGGTTAGAGACGACCGCGCGACACGTCCTCGCGCAGGTGTCCGCGCCTTCTGGCGACCACCTGCCCAGGTAGTCGCGCTCTTTCTTCGGGAGCCCCATCGACGCCATGGCCGAAGGGGCACTCGCCTGCCCCGAGTGCTCTGCGCAGAAGCCCACAACCCCCTCGAGGACGAGGAGCTCGACCATCTCGCCCACGCAAGCCGCTGGATTCAGGAACCCCAGAGCACCTCCTGACCCGCTGCCGTTGCCTGAGCGCACCGGGCGGGCCTACGGACCACCACCTGCCCCGCGCCCTCGCACCGCGGCAGGAAATAGTCCCTCTCGAACTCCACGACCTCCAGTCACAGGTCGAGGCCCGTCTGTATCCGCGCTGGGTCCGGCATGTAGAATTCACGGGATATCACGAGGGGCAGCTCCGGCATCTGGCGCCCCGCTCCGCTAGCCTTCGCGCGCCCCAGCGCGGCCGTCGGCCCCGCGCTCACGAACGCGAGGAGCTGCGGCGGAAGCCAGCCGCGATCGTCGTAGCGCAGCGCCGCCCACACCTTGACGAGGCGGACCCGCGCCACCCCGCGCAGGCATCGCGCGAGGTCCTCGTCCATGACCAACACCCCCAGGGCCCCGATGACGGCGCTAGGGAACTGTGGTGCCATCATCGTCGGGCCCTTGCCCGCACCTATGAACATCTCCACGTTCGCGACGACATACTGGGCCTCGGATCGAGCGGCGAGTCTGTCTCTCTGGTCCACGCCTGCCACGCACTCTGTCCACATCATGGCGCGCAGGGCTTGGTTGGGCACCGTCGGCCCGCACGGCTCGTCTGCTCTGGCACTCGCGCGCTGTCATGGGCCACGGGACCCCGCGCGCGCAATAGCCACCTGCGCATCGTCTCCATGGCTCGCACGCACGACATCACCGCGTTGATGCGCGTGCGGCCCACGATGCCGTCCTTCGCCCGCTCCGGGTATATGCCCGCTCCGGGCCCATGCAGGACCGCGCGCGCCGTCGCAAGCGAGGACGCTCACATCTCCTCGAGCAGCGCGACCAAGCGAGGCTTCCACCGCGCCCACTCCTGCGCCTCCAGTCCGCGACGGTTTTCCTCTGCAGCCGCGGGGCGCCTCCGAGCGAAACGGGCCCCCGCCATCGCACGGGCCCCTGGCGGCGGCGGAGCCTCGGACGCTCCTCGGCTGGCCGCCACCCTGCAGCACGCCGCGGCGTCCTCAAGCATGGCCCGCTCTGGGTAGGCGAACTGGCTCCTCAGTAACTACCTGGCCCACGACTTCCCTCAGCGGCCGCCGCGCCTCCTCCACGCTGCAGTCCGCGACTGCCGCCGCCTGCACGAGCGTTCCCTCGAACTCGGCTTCGCCCGCCGGAAGCGCCAGGCGCGGGCCGAGGATGAAGTATAAAGGCAGCACATCGCAGACCCGCCGCCGCGCGGCGTCGAGGGCGCACGGCCCGAGGCTCAGCATCTGCGCCCAACCGCTGCTCAAAATCGGCCGAGCGCCCGAGCCCAAATGGCCACAAGCATCGGGCAGGGTGAGAAGATACACTTTCGTGTTGGCACACAGGGGCCAACTTTCTGTGCGGTGCGCCACCCAGGGAACCCAAAAATGGCACCGTCTCGCTACGAGACGGCTCCACGACGGCCCAAGGTGGACCTAAGAGGCCCCTCCGTCCTGGCCCTCTTCATCCCGCTCCTCGTGCTCATCATTGGTCCCTGAAGCCCGCTCCCAAGCTCCGCGAGGCCTCGCTCCCCCCGGCGTCGGAGGCGACCGTTCCGCGGACCAACTGGTTCTTCGGCCTGATCCACCTCATCGACGGCCCACGCCCAACGATCCTCAACCTTCTGGGGGGTCCCAAACCCTTCTGGTGACAGATCGCACGGCGGCCTCGGAATCCCAAAAAGACCTCACCGCACGGTCCGTCACCGCACGGCCTTGGGACCCTGGAGGCCCTAGTCGCCCGACACGGCCTCAGAGAACGACCCGAGGCCCAAAACCTGGCGGTGACCCTGAATCCCCACTGACACACCAGTCCCCCGCCCCCTTGCAAGCCCGATCCACCACCGTGCGGGCCCAGAAACCCCGGTCGCACGGCGCAGACGGAATGCCCGCGCTCTGGGAGCCGCCCCGCGGAGTTCGAACACGACTGCGGCCGCCGCGCGAGCCCCGTCGGTGCAGTCCTGGCTACCTACCAGACCACCCCAACCCAACCCGAAGACCCGAATTTCGGGTTTGGGGGGGTACGGGTTCCATACGTGTTTTCTCGATGTTCCCCGACCCCCCCCCACTGGAAATGGAGGGCAAATTGAGGCCTTCGGGTTGGGTTGGGGTGGTTTGGTGGGTGGTGTAGTCCTGAAGCAGGAGGCGCCCGCGAAAAATCTGCGGCGCCTCTCCGGGTGGGCGTGCGAGGCACGAGCAGCCTGCCGCGTTCCGCCTCCTCTTTTGAGGGAAGCGATCCGTGCTCCCTCCCCCCCATCGGGACCCGCACTCTCCGGCCTGCGCGTGCGGGTTGCGCGTGCGGGTTGCGCGCGCGGGGGGTGCGCGTGCGGACTGCGCGTGCGGGGGCTTGCTCGCTTGCTCGCTTGCGCGTGCGGACTGCGCGTGCGGACTGCGCGTGCGGGGGCTTGCTCGCTTGCTTGGCTAGCCAACTCGAGATCCTAGGAAGGCACCAACTATACACCAACACCGATCCTGGCCAGGATCACCCTGGGCCCAGAATCGGTGTATACGCCCTCCTGCCTTGTGCAAGAAGGCATATACACCGATCCTGGGCCCAGGGTGATCCTGGGCCAGGATCGGTGTTGGTGTATAGTTGGTGCCCTCCGAGCTTGCTCGCTTGCTTGGCTAGCCAACTCGAGATCCGCCACCGCACCGCAGGCACCGCGGCTGAGTGCCGTCGGGTCCCTTCGGCGTCTCGGTCCGCCGCCCTTGGCACGTGGAGGCGCTGCAGAATGCCACGGGCTGCCTGGTCGGTGTCTGTGAAATAGTCTGAGACCCCCCCCCCTCCCGAAGCGCTTCATTGCATGACGTCGACCTCCAGTGGTCTCGACCTCTTCCCCGGGGCCAGCTTTTCGTCCTGAGTCGTTCATGGACGGCCCCGAGGCCCGGTGAGGGCCCCCTCAGAGGCCGAAATGAGGGAAACATCTCGCGTTGCGGTTATATTTTTGCCGTTTTTCACCACGCGAGGGGGTCTGGGCCTGTCTCCCCCTTGGATCGCCCCGCCCCCTTCCCTCGAAAAAAAGGGGCCCACGCTCCCGAGGCCACGATATCCCTCGGAACAAAACGCGTCCGCGATCCCAAGCCCACGATCCCTCGTCGAGAGCCGTGGGCCCGCGCTCTCCCGAGCTTCCACGACGGCCGAGGCAGGCAGCCGAGGCTGCCAAGGTAGCCCACGATGCCTCCAGGACGGCCCAAAAAATGGCCCCAAGGCGTCCTGGGAGGGCCTCAAGCCGGCCCAAGAGGCCCCCAAGACGGCCCAAAGAGGGCCACAGAGAGGACCCCCAGCAAGGCCCGAAGACGCCCTAAAATCATAGATGATCCTCAGGCTTTTAAAAGAGTTGGGCGTCTTCACCTTTTTGGGCTTCCTTCGGCCTTAGAGCCCCTCGACCGCCCAACCGGAGACGGCCCCACGACAGCCGCAAGCGACCCCCTGGCCGAGAGGGCCTCAAAGCGGCCCAAGAGAGCCCCGAGGCAGCCAACAGTGTCCAAAGGGACCCCCAAGACTGCCCCACAGGAGCCCAAGAAAGGACGCTAGAGGAGGAAGACGACGAAGACAAGAAGAGAACCCCCGTTCAGACGCGGAAGAGTGCGTCACATGTTACGGCTAGCCAGAGCCTCTGGACACGAGGTGTCGCACGTCACGGCCTCCTCGGCGCCCCCAGAACAGTCGCCACCCAACGTGCTGGGATGGCACGGAGGCGGGACTTGCCGTTGCCGCAGGCAGCTGAATTCTCAAGATCGGGGGGGATGGGTGCAGCTTCGATTCTCGATGGCTTCGCGTCGGATGGCCCGACCTGTCTCCGCCACCCCAGTGCTGCCTGGCAAGGTCCCACAACCCGCGGGGCACGCCCCGCGACGGCGTCGCCGCTACACCGACGGGGCGCGAACCTGCCGCATCATGTCTTGACGGACCCGCTCCAGGAGGCCTCCCACATGAGATCCGAGTAGACGGGGTCGGAGGACCGCGCCGCATCACCGATGCATCTCCGATGCATCGGCGATGCGTCGGAGACGTCGGTGAAGCATCGGCGCCGTCGGCGTGGAGGAAATCGGGCTCCACATCGGGCCTCATCGCCGATGCTCTGGCGATACGGCGCCATCCTCGGGCCCAATCTGCTCGGACACCACGCGAGAGTCCTGGAGCTCCTTCGTGGACCTGCCGTCCTCCCTGGAGAAGCCGAGCCAGGCCAAGCGCAAGCGCGCGGACGCGCGCGCGCACGAGGCGGTATGCGGGCGGGGGCACAGCCGGAGCTCTCCTGAACCAGGAGGACTCCTCCTCCTCCACCTCCTCCTCCTCCTCCTCCTCCTCCTCCTCCTCCTCATCATCCTGCTCCTCCTTCACTTCCACCTTCTTCAATCGAGGATCGAGAACAGTGGAAGATCGAGAATCGCTGCGTTTGGACGTTTCTACCTCTTTCCGAGCCTCTGGAGCCCCCTGAAGGCCTCCGGGGACCTCCAAGGAAGGGCAAAAGGAAGGAAGAAGCGGGTGATCACGAGGAAACGAGGACATCTAAATCTGGAGCAAAATATCAGAACACCGAAATGGCAGAATGTTCAGAGGCAAGCTCCGAGTAGAGCTGAGCCTGATCAGGAAGCAACACGGCGTGATCGATTCCTGGCTGGCCCAAGACAGGCTAGCCTCGCCACGCCTCTCCTCCTCCCCCTCCTCCTCCTCCACCTCCTCCTCCTCCTCCTACTCCACCTCCTCCTCCTCCTCCTCCTCCTCCCTCCTCCTCCTCATCATCATCATCATCATCATCATCATCATCATCAGCATCATCATCATCATCATCACCACTATCGTCAGCAGCATCAGCATCAGCATCAGCATCAGCATCATCACCATCATCATCATCATCATCATCATCAGCAGCAGCAGCAGCAGCATCAGCATCAGCATCAGCATCAGCATCATCATCATCATCATCATCATCATCATCATCATCATCATCATCATCACCATCACCATCGACATCATCAATATCGTCATCATCAGCAGCATCAGCATCAGCATCAGCATCAGTATCAGCATCTTCATCTTCATCTCCATCATCATCAGAAGCATCATCATCATCATCATCATCATCACCATCATATTCATCATCATCATCAGCATCATCATCATCATCATCCATCATCACTATCATCATCATCAGCATCAGCAGCAGCATAAGCAGCATCTGCATCATCGTTGTCCTCATCCTCATCCTCATCCTCATCCTCCACCTTCTCCTCCTCTTCCTCTTCCTCCGCACCCTCTGTCAGCAGCTCAGTATGATTATGCCACTCGCTCAACCCGCGTGTGATAGGGTTACGCTCCTGAGGTCATACCGAACGGCAGCTCGACGCTTTAGAAGAAGCTTCTCGTCGATATACCACCAAGCAACATCGGCAGGCTACAAGCCCCCAGCCTCTAAACTTGCGAGGCATCTTCCCGATTACCAATCTCTCCGTCTCCGTATGTCCCTCTCGGGAGGCAGAACGCTTGAGTGTCCAGGAGTTTGAGCGGACTGGTCGATGGCGAATTTGGCTAAGCATGTGTGCTGAACACCCGACCGCCCAAGCTAAGACGCAACTTCCCCGCTCAAAGATTGCTCTCTATTCGCGAGATCGCCTCAGGCAGAGGAGATGGCACGCCTCGTGCGAAAGTGCAGTCTTTAGCAGCGCGGTGCGACTGCTTGCGCTGCCGGACTAGTCTAAAATACGGGGACCAGGGTCTAGACGGCCCTGGATATGAAGAAGGGAGGTCGACGGAGGGGGTACGAGGGAAAGTGGGCGTGAGCCAGCAATACTGCGGACCGCATTCTTCCCCCAAGACGCAAGGGAGCCTGGGGCACATTGAAGCATATTGGGGTATATTTGGGGGCACCCACCGAGAGTGACTCGTGCGACAACGCCCTCGGTGAAGCCTTGGCGAGATCACCCTAGTCTCGGCCCGTCCGCAGTGGAACTCGACGACAAATCCAACAACTTAAACCGCAAGCACGCAGTTTCTCGGTTGGATGACTGCATGGTGAGCATCCGCGCGCCTGGAACCTAAGTGGGATCACAGCGTTGCTGGAGCGCGCACGGTCGGGAGAGCGGTGGTGGGCATGCGAACGACGCTCTGCCAGGGCGAACAAGCTGCGCTACCCCTACACCCCGGGAGATGAGAGCGAGGCGGGGCGGGGGGGCAAGACTGTCGACTTCCATGAGCATCGTTTAACCGATCCCCATCCCCAGCGGCGTGGCCTGGGCCCCACTGGCGG